TTTATTCAAATTCCCAAGAGGCGCTTGGGGAGTGGAGTAGGTCGAGTTTGACCGAACCACTATAAAACTACGGTGTCATTTTCTCTAACTCTTTCCTATTTAATTTCAAAATTATTATTGTGATTTATTGCATGTTCTACTAGATTATTGTTTTGACTTGAATTATTTTGATCTAGTAATTATCACCTTCTACTTATTTGTAAAAAGTTTCATCATTAGAAAAATTAATCACGTTTAAACATTTTTATCGTTAAAACCCTATTCCCCCCCCCCCCCCTCTAGGGTTGCCATACCAATCCAACACTCGTGACCACTGAATTCCCGAGGTTGAATACATGTAGCCAGCCCAGAACCCAAACCAGTATGCAGCAGCCCGTGACTCGTGATCGAGACCCGCGACCCGTACACTCGCATGCAACCCGTACACTCGCATGCAACCCATGCCTTGACCCGAAGCCACCTGCACCCGCGTCGACCTTCTATTGCCTCACGTGTCACCACTTGCAGTGTGTAGCCCTTCGGCTCAATTGGCTTAGACGGCTCGACTCGGCTTCGCAGCTCAAATTTCGGCTATTCAGCTCGGTAAATAGATTTTGACCCAATTTCATCGTTTCAACCCTAAGTAAGGTAATTTATGTCATTATAATGTCTTATTTCACAAATTTAAGTTGAAATTATATTAGAATTGTGAAATACTAACAAAAAGCGATAAACAACCTAATAGAAAATAAAAACCGGTAATAGTTTGGATCACTTTTGAGGAACGAGAGCTAACATACTAGAACCAGGGAGAATGCTAACTAAGGTCAACCAAGTAAGTGACCCCTATCATCATTGGTTATAAATTGTGTGTTGTATGATGACACGTGCCAGTTATTTCACACCTGTCATAGGTCGTACATGTAGACTATTATGAAATAATATGTAAATGTTATACGATGTGATTACTATGTTGTGTTCGATGAATTGATATGCTTTACGCTATGTTATTTTATGATATGATGTGTTGAAAATATGCTCAGGATGATTACGTGATTGTTATAATATATGATATGATATGTGCACGATATGGACGGATATGTTTGAAAGCATTGAAGTGTTATGATATGATTGATATGTGAGATGTATGATATGCTATGATTGATGTGTAAAACGACAAACTAGTATGAAATACAACTCCGACATACGGATGAAAGAAATAATAAATGATATAATAAACGTTATGAGAAATGGTATGAAAATATATGATACAAACTAGACGCTAGTGGGGTTGTATTAATGATAATTAAAATGAAAAAATGTTAAGGACCTCATGCATTATTGTGTGCTCATGCATCAGGGGATACTCCTATTCCTTCACGATAGTACAAATGCACACTCCTAGGGAGGGAAACGTTCATTATGTTTGTGATAATGCTGTCTTGACGGTCGCTACTCCTAACGGGTGTCCGACATTAACAACTACCAAAGAATGCTCGCCCGACTAGAAAAGGACCCATAAGGGGTGTGAACCGACTGGTGGGTCCTACTTGCATGTGGGAGCAAGCCATGGATGATGATGACTGAGTTACCTACAGGAAAGAGAGTTTTGTTGAACAAATAGGTGTTAAGAATCAAGGCTGAACCAAATGAAAAAATGAGGCTGAAGGCTCGATTAGTAGTTGAAAGATATTCACATAGGAAAGACATTGATTATGCTGAAATCTTTTCTCCTATTGTGAAATTAACTACTATTTAAATTTTGCTGAGTATTGTTGCATACGGAAAATTACCTTGAGTAAATGAATGTAAAAACAACGTTTTTATATGGAGATCGAGATGCAACAACCAGAAGGGTTTGGAGCTCCAGGCAAGGAACACATGATGTGTAAGCTCAATAAGAGCTTGTATGGATTGAAACAAGCATGACCCGTGTTGTTACCTCAAGAAATACACTGATTCTTATGTGTTTCTATTCCTGTATGTGGATGATATACTGATTGTTGGATCCAGTATGAGGGAGGATGATATACTGATTGTTGGATCCAGTATGAGGGAGGATGATATACTGATTGTTGGATCCAGTACGAGGGAGAAAAACCACTTGAAGGCAAACATGTCTTCAATATTTGAGATGAAAGATTTGGGTGAACCGAAGTAGATTCTTGGGATGAGGATTTCTTAAGGTAGATTTGCTGGCACATTAGATCTATCCCAAGAACAGTACATTGAATGATGCTAAATGCAGGGGTACCCTTTTGACAAATCGTATTAAATTGTCAAAGGGACAATCTCCCAAGATAGTTGAGGAACGTAAGGACATGACATTAGTTTCATACGCTTCTATGATTGGGAGTTTGATGTATGCTATAGTCTGCACTAGACCTGATATAACACATACAATAGGAGTTGTTAGCAAGTACAAGCAAACAGAAGAAAAGAACCTAAGTACATGGCTTCTAAGATATTTGAGAGGTACATCGTGTACTTCACTTTGGTATCAGGCTTCTTGAACTCATAATTTATAATGAAAATCTCACAGAGTTTTAATAAGTTGTTTTGAGTGCATTATGTTGTTCCTCTATTTTTCCACTGTACAAATCCTTTAACCAATTTCAACCCCACCAATCACTTCACTGCCAAAACGTAAGAAACAACTTACACAACTACAACAGATTACACCACATCACATCACACCCTTCCTTCCTTCCTTCCCCTTCTCACAAGGATCATATTATCATAGAATCCTCAATGGTTTTGGTCAACAGAAAATTTATGTGGATTCATTTTATGCTTTTTGCAACGACCGAGACGAAACACCGTGTACAAGTCTCACAAATCCCAGGAAGCTAAGCTTCCCATCCGAGTGTCTGATCCAGTCCTGGACAACCACATGAACCGGTACCGATGGACTAAGTCCGAGTTCCTGACACACGTAACACATAACTCATATCACAAACAACCCACTCCAATCACATTAATATACCATCATTATCAAAAGCATACCGACGCAAGTTCCTCGATCATTATGGGGCGATTCCCATCCTTATCGAAAAGATCGTAGGCATGTCGGGCATGTTGTTCCCAGTTCTCCATTCCCTCTAGTTGATATATACTTATGGCAGCTGCACAGAATTCTTCAAAATCTAATTTTCTGTACTGAATGGAACTAACCTGGCAGGGGCAGGGGCAGAGGCAGAGGCATACATACAACAACACTTCTTTGTCAACCACATATTAGCAGGCAGCAGCATTGAAACAAAAGAAGAGAACACAAGTCTTACCATGTTGCCGTACTCTACAACTCTCGAATCCTTCATGGCATCCGTTGAATTCTTGATTAAAGCCTGCCAAGTTTTAATCTCATTACAATCAACTTACTTCCAACTCTCTTATTCTTGTGTATGATACCAGAAAAAAGAAGCAACCGTCTTGAAGTTTTGCATGGAAATGAACCCGTTTTTGTTCGGTCCTAACACCGTAAATTGCTTCTCAAGATAACCCAGTTGAACAGAGCTTAATGTCTTTGCAACCGCCTGCGCAAAAATTAATGTCCCAAACTAGTTAGTTAGCAACCTAAGCCCACCGCCAGCAAATATTGTCCTCTTTGGGGAGAGGTTTTTGTTAGGATTGCACAACAACGCACACACTCGATCAAGATGAACACAAAGAACAGGAGAGAGAAAATTCAAGGATGAATATTGGCTAAAGGTTTTATTGGTCACTTTAGGTACGTACCATGTATGTCTACCAAATCTTTACGAAGTATCTACCATATATATATCTGCACGATGTTTACGAAATATATACCTATATATCTACAAGATCTTTTACTATCAATAGACATCAGGGTCTATATCCCAACAGTTTCCACACCATTATAAAGAATGATTCATTCTCCTCTCCAACGGATGCGGGATCTCACACGATCACTCACTCATCATAAATCATACAGCTACGTGAATGAGATTGAAAGGGAGTACAATAATACACTTACGCCCAATGCCGATTTACGCAGCGAAGATGAGCAAATATAAGCTCTGACAAGCTTGTAAGTGATTGTATCCAATGGGATCTTGATATCTTGATGATCAGCTAACCAGGGATGGCCTACATGCAAGAATTGTTGTTTGAGCTTCACAAAACAAAACAATTAAAGAAAGATTCTCATAAACATACACAGGGCTTGAGCAGCAGTCAATCTCTTGCGGTAGTCTTTGTTCAACAATCTCTTCACAAAATCAATTGCATCAGAGGATAAACTAGGCCATGGGGATTCCTCAAAGTTCGGATCCGCCTTTAGAACAGCTCGAAAAATGCCAGATTCTGTTCGGGCCCAAAATGGTCGACTTCCACACAAGAGAATATAAGCAATTACACCAATACTCCACATGTCTGCCTCCGTTCCATATGATCTATGTAAAACCTCAGGAGCAACATAATAAGCACTTCCTACAATGTCATTCAATCTCTCATCTGCACAAACAATTAAAAAAAAAAAAAAACTCAGAAATCCACTGTCTGCCTTCAGATAGGTGATTTTGAATAGAAACAATCGTTCAGAATCCAGACCCGGTTTCACGTAATCAGAGAGCCCGAAATCGATAGCTTTAAGAGTGGATCTCTCCTCCTTGGATGTAAAAAGAAAATTCTGAAGCAAAAGCAATAATTATCCAACTTTAGAGATACCCTCCAAGAAATGAATGGGGGCAACAAGTGGTATCACAGTTTTTGGTTGTGGTATCATTATGGCACAACAAGTGGTATCAGAAGATTGAAGGTTGTAGCATTTCGGTGCACAACAAAATAAGCAAATTTGGTAGTTCTGTATACCTCAGGCTTGAGATCACGGTGAACCACACCTTGAAGGTGACAGTAGGCGACCACACTCAAAATCTGAACCATAATAATTTTTGCATCTTCCTCAGAATACTTGCCACCCCTAAAGAATTGCACAAGAATAGCAACAACTAATAAATGTGTAACAAAGATCCTGAAAATTCAATCTAGAAGCATATAAGGATAGATACCTCGAAAGTATCCGATCGAGAAGTTCACCTCCTTCGCATAACCTGAAGCACAAACATAATCAAATGAAATGGGAAATGGTTGTGTGAAGCATCACCAAGTCGTAGCTTAGATGGATATAAACTTACTCCATCACAATGTACACATTATCTTGATCTTCAAATGCATCGTAGAATTGCACCAAGTTTTTGTGTCCGGTGAGGGCTCGCAGTATTTTGACTTCCCTTCTCACATCCTCAATAGCTATTGCTGTAGTCATCTGCACATTATTTTCATCATTGTGCATAAACACACAGTCTACTATACACAACCATAGACTAAACCAAAAATGTAAAGAAAATCATGAGGTGTTCATAAATCTAATAATGAATAAAGATGATGATGAACAGAGATTATGAAGTAAGTTAGTGAAGCAACCTTGGATTTGGGAATGATTTTGACAGCAACTGGGTGGCCTTTGAGAGGACCTTTTTTGGCGGTGGCAGAGGAAGTGTAGCCGAAATGGCCGCGGCCGAGTTCGTGGGCAAGGTCATAGTGGGCGGCAAAGTGTTTGGAGTAGCCGAAGTTCTTATCCAACCCCACATCGCACTCGGTTCCTTCAGGGATAGAAGCCTCATTGGGCTTGACGGAGGCATGGCGGCGAGCGAGGAGAGCCCGAATGTGCTTGGCCGGAGAGGGCGGCGGAAAGGGGCGCTTGAAAAGACGGAGAGGGGTGGAGTTAGCCGGAGAGGAGTTGTTGAAGAGATTGGACAGAGGGCTGGGGCTGTAAAAGGGGAAATTAGTAGGGGTTTCCGATTGGATCACTGAATCATGATTTTGTGAAATGGGTTTTGGGTTTTCTTGAATGGCTTTTCCATGACACAGTCCCATGGAATCCGAAGTCCAGTTGAACACAAACACACAAACACACAAACACACACACACACTAAAACCACTCACAGTTTCATACCATTTCCAACACTCACAAAACTTGGTTGAATTCGTATTGATCGACGAAATGAGGGAAAGAAGCAGAGAATCGTAGAAGAAGAAGAAGAAGAAATTAAAAACAAAAGTAAGGGAAAGATGCTTAGCAGAGGCACCAAGAAAAAGCAAAAGAAAAGCAGAGAGAGAGAGATACAGAGCTTTTCTCCCCCCAATGCCCAATGTGCTTACTTCTTAATTTGATTTGCTTTTTAGTCTTCACAATAATGGAAGGAAGTGGATCCTTCCACCCTCTCTTTATTCCTCACCAATAACTAACATAAAACCTTCTTCTTCTTCTTCTTTTTAAATCAAAACATTATTCATTTCAGCTGAGCTTTGATATCAACATACATCAACAATCAATGATCCAAACATGTTATTTCGAAACATGTTTCTCCTGACGCCAAGAATACGCCAACGACCTTCCGTTGCACCTCATAGAATCCACATGCAAAGAAAAATAACATGATACAGAGGGAAAACAAGGGAGAAGAAGAAAAGATTGTCACGACGCCAACAATCACCCCGTCGAGACTCACTGCGCCGTACAATATAGATAACGTCATGGAAGAGAGGACTAACATGTCAGGGAACACCATGATGCACACGAGTGATTACTACCGAACGGTGTCGTAGCTTTGTCGGCCAAGAGAATGAATTGATAGTCAGTTCTAGTCTCTATGTCGTTTTAAAGATGTTTTCAAACACGTAAGTACGTTTTAAATAGTCACCCTTATTTTCTTAAACATAGACTACAATAGGATTTTTTTTTTAAATTTAAACGTTTAATTATTTCCTTTAGTTCATTGTTATGTCGTGAACACGTAAGTCCATGACTGTGTTTTAAAATGAAGTTTATGTTTTATGAATGTTTAAATGATGTATTTCTACCTTCAATATTCATGATATGTTCACAGTATCGACCATAAACATAATCTAATATTCAAATATATTCTACTCTTTAAGTTCATGATTGGCCTAATCCAACCCAAAAGAGGCCAAACCTTATCACTAAAATTATTGCATACAATCATTGAACTTGATATGAGAGATTAAGTTGATGAGTCTACAAAATTGACCCATTATGAGACCAATGACTTTGAGAAAGAGATCATCGAAGTACGAGCGACGTAACTAACTTATAATGAGAAATTCGCCACAGTGAATCGTTATTGTTGCTAGATTTATAAAATTCGAATGATGTTGCGGCTAGTGTTGGGTGTGCCCCTAATTAGTAATTGTAATGATTACCCGGAATCAATATATAAAGAAATTAATGATTAGTATAATAATTACTTTGATTAATTTCAATCAATTATCATCCAATCAATATAAATGATTATGTATTTGTCTTCTACCTAATATTTTTTATGAAAGGATTTACATAAGCTTACATAAATTCACTAGACAGGCTCGTATACATACTCCTAGATCTGATGGGCTAACATATGATGACACTGACGGTCAGAACCCAATGACAGTGTCTATATCTACCATATTGGAAAAGTAATATATGCTCGTGTGACATACAACGTTGCAAGAGGTGGTACATTTAATACCATGGTTCAGTGCAATGATATACGAAGTAGTTTCATATCCATCATGACATGAATCAGACGTATATATTTAAATATTTTACTGAGTTTTGGGATTTGATTAGAAAGAATGAATAATGTTTAGTTAAAAAAAAGAATATATTGAATACATTGGAAGGTGTTATAGGGCAGTGTGAGTGTAATAGAATAATATAATATTATTAAATTAATTATTTGGTCAAACATGTTCCGCCAATCACGAGGCCTACTTAATTTAAGCATCAATTAATTATTGAGATTAAAGTAAAGTAGCTATCCAACTCAGTTACTAATCATGATTAAATAATAATGTTTTAATTGTAATATTAGTGAGAAAAAACGCGGAAAAAGGGGAGGGAAAGAGGGAGGTGAAGTTTATAGGGTAAATAATAATTTAATAATAATAATTTATTAATAATAATTTAATAATAATAATTTATTAATAATATATGATGGTGTAAGGTTAGGTGACCCACCAATTTGGGAATTTGTATCCCCCAAAAACAAGGGTATGGAATGGAATATACCAAGAAATCCCTCACTTCTCTCTCTCTCTCACTCGCGCATGATACGATATAATATGTTTGGAAGACCCGACATATTTTGATCTGACACATGTTTGACATGTTGAGATATATGATAGGATTGACATGCAATATGATGTTTCAGTATGATGCACAACCCTGATATACGCATGAAATGTTATGATAAAGAGGATATGCTATAAAGGGAAGCAGAAGGGGTTGTGTTACGTGATAATGAAAGAAAAAATGTTGGGATTTCATGCATTATTGTGTGTTCATGCATCGGAGAATACCTCTCTTTTTATGATGGCATGGACGCATAAGTTACGAGATAGAAAAACGATCATTATGTTCATCATAATGTTGCGATAGTCACTAAAGCTATTGGGTATTTGGCAATAGCTCTAGAGAATGCTAGCTCAACCAAGAAAGGCGCCGAAGAGGTGTATGAACCGATTAGTGGGTCCATACTCGCACGTGTACACCATCTGTAGAATAGTAAATACACATCTAATTATCCACTTAGGATAATCAAGGGAATATAGGCTGATATAATAGGTCTCATCCAGGATTGTATGTGCTTGCATCTAACCTGTTAAGAATATTTAATTTTAAATTATACTTTACCATATATATCATATTTGATATTTTATTATGGTATATTTCTATTTATTGTTATTTCCATTTATTAGTCTTTCCATATCCTTGCCATTTATTTGATTGTAAATAATATAATTTTCACATTATTTAGGTGTGGTGGATTATGCAAACATTCTCATAATTTCAATAGCGGAGTCAATTATTGAGTATTTCTTAAAATACTAGCGGTAGGCTTTTTGGCCCTTGATCTCATTGCAATTAATTTCAATTAATTGATGTTTAGATGATAACAAACCTAGTTTTAACTATTAACTATTTTCAGTATTTTGAACTGTCTACCGTATAAGGTTGAGAATAACTATTTCAACGACTTTTCAATTACTCAAATCAGAGCTAAAACGAAGAAATTAAAGTCGAGACAACATACCCGACGTGATGATGTGACAGTAAAATCAAAATGATGGACAAATCAAAATATATCAAAGTATGACACTTATAATTTTTGAAGAGTAACAAATGTAGAGTTTTTCTTATTATTATATTTTTAAATAAAATGATTTTTACCTAATATAAATTTGAATCTAACCGATACTCACATCGATTTTTATTGTTACTATATTATATTATTATATTATTATATTTTAAAATTTTAGTGATTACTCACGTACTTTTTATTATTATTATATTATTATATTTATAATAAATTTTAAAATTTTAATTAAACCATTATTCACATAATTTTTTTTTATTATTATATTATTATATTTATAATAAATTTTGAATTTGTTACTCACGTTAGTTTTTATTATTTTTATATTATATTATTATTATATTATAAAAATTAAATAAATGAATTTGAAAAATTTTCTTATTTATTTACTTTTAATCTATATCTTCCATTATTCCTAACACAATCGAATGTTCAATATTAATTCCTACTTTTTTGCCACTTTTCTTCTATATAAACTCATCAACTTCCCCCACATTTTTAAAACACAAAACTTCCATAAATTCTCCAATCCTCATTTGTTCAAAGTTTCCATTATTTGTTGCTCTCTCCAAGCTTTCAAGTTTATTTCTCTTCATCTTATTCTTGAGAGGGATTATTATTATATTGCGAGGAAATAGCTGTGAGTGACCCGAATTGTAAATCTACTCTTTGAGAGAGCTTCCAAGTTTATTTCTCCTCGTCTTATTCTTGAGAGGGATTATTATTATATTGGGAGGAAATAGCTGTGAGTGACCCAAATTGTAAATCTACTCTTTGAGAGAGTAAAGAGGGTTGTGGTGTGTTACTATCAAATTCAAATACTTGTATCAGTTTAATCCTGCGCCATGGAAAAGATTGAGTTTACTCTTGAACTCGTAAAAAGAGCGATGTAGCAGTTTGGCTCTGATCTGTGGAAAGAGTCGAGAAAGTTTTTTATTCAAATTCCTAAGAGGTGCTTGGGGAGTGGAGTAGGTCGAGTTTGACCGAACCACTATAAAACTACGGTGTCATATTTTCTAACTCTTTCTTATTTAATTTCAAAATTATTATTGTGATTTATTGCATGTTCTACTGGATTATTGTTTTTACTTGAATTATTTTGTTCCAGTAGTTATCATCTTCTACTTATTTGTAAAAAGTTTTATCATTAGAAAAATAAATCACGTTTAAACACTTTTATTGTTAAAACCCTATTCACCCCCTCTAGAGTTGCCATACCGATCCATCCAACATGTGCTACTCTAATTTTTCAGGTAAAGACAAGACTCTCATGTACGACTGACAGTGACACCGCAACTCAGGAGACCATGACACATGCATAAGGTAATTTGCATTTAAATTTCGTAGACTATAGGTTAGTATATGTTAGCATGCATTTAAATTCGTTGAATATAGGTCCGTGTAGGACATTCTGTTTTATTTTATTTCAATTTTTGTTAAACTGTTTAAAGACCTTTGAGAAAACATGTAAGTTCATGGCAATATTTTTATGATAAAGTTTTGAATGACTTATTTTCGCATAAAATGACTATGATATGTACACAGTAGCGACTTTAGGTTAAGTAAAAATCTATAGTTGATACAGATTGAGTTGTTTATAATAATTGTATCAATGAACATAACTTGTCCTACAGTGCATAAGAGTGCAACTCTAAGCCTTAGCTCAACCCAACATCTTCCAGCGGTCTAGATGCATTTTAAGTGACTTGAACAATTGGCATGCACTCGATTTGACTGGCTCAACCAACTTATTCTACTTGAGTTATTCTGCTTGAGTCGGAGATTTTGACCCCACTTAACCATTTTAGATGATTTTGGAACTACTTATGACACATTAGAGAGCGTTGAAGGTCAGTATAGCCAGACCAATTTAAAATAGTTGTAGACAAGTTTGGATTAGTTAACCCTATTAGGTAAATTAATTTTTTGAATGACGTCAGGATCATATCATAGTGTCACAATCCAATTTTCAAAGTTTCGAATCTATGACCGTACTAAAGAAGAAAAAGACAAAGACAAAAATAAATAAATTAAAATATAAAAAATATGGTAATATT